ACACGTGAGTGACGTGGTTCATGAGTACTGAGACACGTGAGTGACACGTGGTTCATGAGTACTGAGACACGTGAGTGACACGTGGTTCATGAGTACTGAGACACGTGAGTGACATGTGGTTCATGAGTACTGAGACACGTGAGTGACACGTGGTTTATGAGTACTGAGACACGTGAGTGACACGTGGTTCATGAGTACTGAGACGTGTGAGTGACATGTTCATAAGTACTGTTGGTAAAAAATGGACGTCCAGTGGGTTGAAATGCGGGATGATGCTGGTGCCGCTTTCTGTTCTGGTCTGTATCCAGCTACATAAACAGGTCCAGGGTAAAACCACACAGTGAGTCACCTCTAGGCAAGATCTGCTAGCCACATAACTGAGTGGCACCCCCCCCACCCCCTTTTACCTGCACAGATGTCCGCGTGAACTACTGCTACACCAGGTTCGAGAACGGCCGCTGCCAGGCTCCGCAGCCACACAACACCACCAAAGCAGAGTGCTGCTGCAGCGAAATGCCCGGCCAGGGCTGGGGCAGCCCCTGTGAAATCTGCCCCGCCAAGGAAGATGGTGAGGAGTAGGGTGATGCAGGCAGGAGAAGCGGGCGAGGTGGGTGGGAGAGGAGGGCAAGGTGGTCAAGATGGGAAAGGAGGAGGCGGCAGGAGGTGGCAGAAGAGGAGGGTGAGGTCTGGGGCTTGCAGGGCTTCCAGCCGATGTCCCATGCAGCGATGGCTGCCCCTCTCATTAGTAACAGCAGCACTCCTTCTTCCCGCTATAATTATATTCTCTGAGAGAGGTAGGTATCAGGAAGCTGAACGCGCAAAATGTATTTTTCCTCCTGTGAAAAGGAAGAGTCCGCCGTTAAAGGGGCAATGGATCCAGGTTTGATGTGTACAGGCAGAAGTTTGCATGTCATTGATTATCATAAATTCACCGAAACATAAAAAAAAAAACAACAAAAACAGCAGGCCTGTTTTCCTAACGTTTCATGTTTTTGTTCCAGAGGGCTATAGGCAGCTCTGCCCCCTATCCGGACATGCCATGCGGCCGGACGGCAGCCCCATAGGTATGTTGCGTGGAATTCCAGATGTTTCTCGGGGCCTCACTAGCATGAAGTTCTGTGTGAAAGACTGAAGGCTGCTGTTCTGCTTCCTTACTTAATTCACCAGACATCGACGAGTGCTTGACCCCCGGAATCTGCAGGAACGGGGAATGCATAAACACGGATGGCGCGTATCGCTGCGAGTGCCCCTTCGGCTTCCAGCTGGACCCCTCGCGCAAGAGGTGCGACGGTAGGTCCCGTCACGCTGCCCAGACTGCCCCCTGTTGGTGGCCAGGACATGTCACCTCTGACAGGGGTTTTTGTTGGAACTCCTGGTTTCCATAGACGCTGACGAGTGCGAACTGGGCAATCCTTGCGGCAACGGGACCTGCACCAACGTCATCGGGGCTTTTGAGTGCGCCTGCGATGAGGGATTCGAACCCGGGCCGATGATGTCATGTGAAGGTACGGCCCGCTTTGTGGTATGGAGCCATCGCTACATATAAACGCTTGCTGAGGTGTTGGTGAGTCCCCGTGACTGTGCCTGCACCCCCAGACGTGAACGAGTGTGCCCAGAACCCTCTGCTGTGTGCCTTCCGCTGCGTCAACACCGTGGGCTCCTATGAGTGCAAGTGCCCTGCAGGCTACGTGCTGCGAGAGGACCGGAGGATGTGTAAAGGTAAAGCATTCCCACCCCTGCGGGCTTAACATATACCCCAACCTCCTGGCTGTTCGACACCAATGTAATCTCCCTGATAACAGCATATGGCCAAAAGTCTGTGGACACCCCTATTATATGGAGGATTTCTTTAATTAAGCCACACTCGTTACTGACACAGGAGTATAATTAAGCACACGGTTGTGCGATTTCCTGCATATAACATTATCAGCAGCATGGGCGGTTATTGTACAATAGAGGTTGGTGACTTCCCACTTGGCACCATCACAGGACGCTAACTTTACGACAAGTCAGTTTGCTACATTTCTGCCCTGCTAGAGCTGCACTGGTTGAGATTGTGAAGGACAAAACGCCAGGGAACAAGTTTGACCTCGCAAGCTCACAGAAAGGGACCCGATTACCCAACATCAATAATCCAACCTGTGGCTGCAGATCCCACCAGCAATGTTCCAACCTGTAATGGAAAGCCCTCCCAGAGGAGCAGAGGCTGTTACGGTGACCTTGGTTATGATATAAGATGTTGGGCAAGCTGGTGTCCACATACTTTTGGTCACGTAAATCTGGTGCTAAACCTTCCATGCCTTCCGAACAGACTGTTCGCTAGATTTTTAGCCGTCCTGGGCAGCTGACTTGGACCACCTCCCTGTCTCTTCTTGCTTATTAAGTGCTGGTTTCCACATGCTGTGAACCTTGTATGTGACTGGATGGAAACCCTCCTCTCACCTCCAGACCAAAACGAGTGTGAGGACGGCATTCACGACTGTGAGAGCAAAGGGATGACCTGCAAGAACCTCATTGGGACCTACATGTGCATCTGCCCAGAAGGTTACACCAGGCAGCCCGATGGAGAAGGATGCATGGGTATGACAGGCTACCATCTTCTTCTGAGCCTCAGTCTTAAGACTTGACTAGTCCAGGGTTCCTGGAAGCAACTCAGAGCTTTCCAGATCTGATGGACTCATGGGGAGCCTCTGAGACATTACTTCATGTCATCATATTGATGTGCTTGTTTTGGAGAAACATATTATTGTGAAGTTAATTGCAACTTTCCCTGATTAGTATGAAAATGAGAGGTGTCTTAATGGCATCTTATTGCTGTTACTCTGTCAAAGTAATGGTTTGATGAAACCTGAAATACTTCCTAGCCTCTCCCCTTGGCTGGGTGACGAGCGAGGCACTCTGCCCTGTGCGAGGCGTGCCCTGACACCAAGCTCCCCCAGAGTGAGGGGCATTGCCAGCCTTCGTCACGCCACAATGTCTGGCCCACCATCCAGTGATGGCGGCCTGTGTTCTTTTTGCTTGGTTTCACTCGTTCTTTTCTGCCAGATATGAACGAGTGCTCAGCCAGACCAGGCATCTGCGTGAATGGCCGCTGTGAGAACACCATGGGCAGCTACCGCTGCAGGTGCGACCAGGGCTTTGTCCCCAACCCCAGTCACACAGAGTGCATCGGTGAGTGCCGCTCTGCACTGGCGCCCCCTGCTGTCCAATGAGAAGCACGTAGAATGCATGTGTTTCTGTCTATCAGTAACTGAACTACTATCTGTGTTTTTGTTAAGTTTTTTGTTGTGTGTTTGGTTAAGGTTAGGCTTGCAACATGCTCTCTGCATTTGGATCCCAAATCTGGGGTCTTTAGCCATTTTTCAGTCATGGAAAATCGCCCATACTTCCACCCATGTAGGTCAGGTTGATATACAGTGCATAGCCCTCCAGCAGTTAAGGGCCTGACTACAGCCAGATTTATCGGGCTCTGAGCTGGCAGTGTTGTCATGGAAACCTTCTGCATGACAGGTTACTATGGTTACTATTTCTGGGATGTACACATCCATTGTCTCTGGAAATCAGGGGGTGGGGCATGTGGCACAAACAGCATTATGGGTAGCATGTTGTTCATTAACTGCCATGTTTCCTGCCCCCCCCCAGACAACAGGGAGGGCTTCTGTTTCACAGAAGCTCTGCAGACGCTCTGCCAGATGACCTCCACCAACCGTGCCCAAGTCACCAAGTCGGAGTGCTGCTGCACCGGGGGCCGGGGCTGGGGCCCCAGCTGTGACCTGTGCCCCCTGCCTGGCACCACCCAGTACAAGCGCATGTGCCCGCAGGGGCCCGGCTACACCACAGACGGAAAAGGTGACGGCACGGAAACACCCGGGCACTCGGCTCGCTGAGATATGAGGGCCCCTTGTCATTGACTGCTCCCTGCCCTGCCCAGATATCGACGAGTGCCGCGTCATCGGGAACCTGTGCCGTAATGGACAGTGTATCAACTCCCTGGGCTCCTACAGCTGTGTATGCAAACCGGGATACACTGCCGACCTCACTGGCACCTCTTGCGTGGGTAAGCTCTTCGTGGCACCATTACGCCTAGTTACCCTTCCTTCATGATAGCGTGTTATGGCCCGGAGAAACAACTATCATATAGCATGTAATGGACTGCTCCCGATCCATTGTGGAGTGTGCCGGTACTCGTGCGGGTTCCATCACGCTCCGGTGTCTTGGTGCATATGACCTGATACCAGCTCCTCTGTCGTTCTTGCAGACGTGGATGAGTGCTCTCAGGCACCGAAGCCCTGCAACTTCCTGTGTAAGAACACTGAGGGCGGCTACCTGTGCTCCTGTCCCAGGGGGTACCTCCTACAGGAGGACAGCAGGAGCTGCAGAGGTAGGGCTGGGGGGCCTGGCGGGAGCCAGCCTGGGGTACCTTTCCCAAAAGCTGCCATTCGGTTGCCTGGTTCCAGCTATGTAAATTGCTAACAAAGTTGCTAGCATAGTTAGCAACTATGCTTTCGGGAAACGCACTCATGCGCGCACTCTTCTGGGAGTTCGGTTTGAGTACGTTAGCTTTCGGACATGAACATTTACACGCAAATGGTTAGAAGTGCATGGCTGGAAACTTTGCCTTTCCTCAGGACAGCTTCTCCCACTTTTAGCTGAAATCCACACAGGTCGCTTATCCCCCAGTATGGACCGGCCGGTGTACACTCAGGGGCCGGGCATTCTGGGTACTGAGAGTGTACGTGTGGCAGCATCATTCACGCACACACATCCCAGAGCTTCCTGTTGATAACTCTGCCGCTTTCCGCCTGTGGCTTTTTGGTCACACTCGCCTGGGCTGAGTGGCCCATGGGGATTTCTGTGGGGTGTGGCTTTGGACAATAGGCCTCTGATTGCCTTACTTGTCCCCCTACACTCTAGTTTCTCTCCAGTTTTTATTTTTTATGTGTGTGGGAGGGGTAACACCAGGGCTTATGGAAAGCCTCAGCCTTGGGGCTGCTCCAATGGCTCTCCTGTCTACCCCACCCCCCAGACCTGGATGAATGTTCCACAAAGCAGCACAACTGCCAGTTTCTCTGTGTCAACACCATCGGGGGCTTCACCTGCAAGTGCCCCTCCGGCTTCACCCAGCACCACACCGCCTGCATCGGTGAGCTTCTCGCTGATGTTTAACAGTCAGCATGATTTAACATCATGGTCACTTGACTGGGGACCTGTTGTGTTCTGTGGTGACCTGCCCAGTACACGGGCTCAGCCTTAAACTGGGAAACACGGTAAATATTACCAAGCAGCCCAAGTCACTTGTGGTTCTGGATTTTCCAGATGGGTGGAGCTTTTTTGTGGTGGAATTATGGGAAAATTAGGATCTCAAATCTAGAGCATGTGTCTGTGTCTGTGTGTGTATTTGGTCCCCATAATATGATGATAAACTGTTATTTGAGCTAGTGGAGACATTTTTTTATTTTTTCAATTTTACAAAAAACTGTGACCACAATCAAAAAGCTACATATGACCTAAAGTCTTGTATTTTGTTTGGTTACTAACAGTTATGGTTAGGGCAGGGTGGGGATTAAGGTTGTCATAGTTAGCGTTAGAATTTCTCCCATAGACGTGAATGAGCGGGCCCCATAAGGATAGGTATACCCGACGTGTGTGTGTGTGTGTTAATCCCACCCCCAACCATGCCTATGCAGACAACAACGAGTGTGCCACAGACCCAGGTCTGTGTGGTTCCCACGGCGTGTGTCAGAACAGCCCGGGCAGCTTCAGCTGCGAGTGCCAACGCGGCTTCTCTCTGGACCCGAACGGACAGAAGTGCGAAGGTGAGGCTGGTTCGGGTGGCATGCTCTAGCTCGCCTGTCCATTTGTGGGGTGCCGTTTAAGTCACGCGTGATACGAGGGTCACACATTCATTTATGGTATCTGCTGTTTAATCTATACAGCGATCTGTAAAAACGACCCGCTTAAACGTCGACATGACGTTAACTTTTGAGTTATAATCACTTGACCTACACCTTGTAAAAGCAGAACTTCGTCAAGCAGGTAAACGAAAGAAAAGGTGCTGGTTCGGAATTAAACGGAAAGCTACATCTGAGCTTAACGCCATGTGAGTTCGCCACTGTTTGAGCCAGAGGTCAGGTAACAGGCCCAAGGGCTCTCCTGTAATTGGTCGTTAAGTGTGTTCTTTGTGGTAGCGGGAGACTGGGGGCAGTGGACTGGCTTTCAGTGGGCTGTCATGTGAGCCCTGAGGCAGGATGGGTCTAAAATCCCAAGCACATTCAGGACACCTTCAGGCAGACATACTGCTGTTAGAGGACTGGTTTCCTGCCCACCACAGTTATATAAACCTGCCTTCATATAAACATGCTAAAATATGGCAAATATTAATAACAAACTTTATGAAATCAGCCCAATAACTGGAAAGACTACAAAAGCTAACCTAAAAATTGTTGACAGCAGGTCAGGTATACGAGGAGCTGTTTTGGGCACCAGGCTGACTCGAGTGTTTTATACTGTAAATTACAGTAGAAGATCCAGCTGTATGTCCTACATGTAACACTCCTTTAACTGTTAAACAGGTTTTATTGTGTTGTCCTTAACTCCCTTAGCTGAAGGTACCATGTTACTGACCCTTTGAAAGAGGTTTATAGTAAAGTTAAGCCAGAAGCTTTTTTTAGATTTATTTTAGCTTTTGATTTAAAAAATATCTTAAGCACCTGGTTTACCTGTAATATTTAATAGTTATTTATGAAGATTTTATAGTAATTAAAGTCATAACAACCATGCAGTCCTGTGCTAATACTGCTGCCTGCTTCTGCCCCCCCCGCAGACCTGAATGAGTGTGATGGGGAGCACCGGTGCCAGCATGGCTGCCAAAATCTGGTGGGAGGCTACCGCTGCAGCTGTCCCCAGGGATTCCTCCAGCACTACCAGTGGAATCAGTGCATAGGTGAGTGCCCCCTGCTGGTGGGAGGTACAATGCGGAGAACTGCCAAGTGATAACTGTCACAAATACCTCCACAGAGACCCTATAACTGCCCTCTTAGGTTTGGATATATACACACATAATCTGCTATGTGTCTTTTCCTCTAATTTGATGGCATGCATGAGATTTGCTGATGTTAGCTGTCCAGCAGAAGCACCAGAGACCTTGTCTGATGCTCTTCATCGCTCTGCTGCTGCTTATCCTCACCTCCTCTGATGCTTCTGCAGCCCTGCTTCAGACGTCTGCATTTTGGCACCAGGACTAGGGGTTAAGGAAAGATAGCCTCTGGCCTTTGTCACACCTTTTATGAATGGTGCTGCATACCATAATAAAAGATGAAAAGCCCTAGTCCCCCCCCCAGGGCTGCGTGTCAGGCTCTTCCCGTGTGTCCCGTCGCCGTAGAGACAGATGTCTCTTTGACCGTGGGTCAGGCTGCCTGGCATCTTCTGCCCACTGATGCTCACTCTCCCGTCTTGGCCAGATGAGAACGAGTGTCAGAACAGCCAGGTGTGCGGAGATGCCTCCTGCCACAACACCCTGGGCAGCTTCCGCTGCCTCTGCCCCACCGGCTTCAACTACCAGCAGACCAACGGCGGATGCCAGGACATCAACGAGTGCTCCAGCTCCCAGAACCCCTGCAATTATGGCTGTTCCAACACAGATGGGGGCTACCTGTGTGCGTGCCCCCCGGGCTACTACCGAGCGGGACAGGGGTGAGTGTGTGTCTACCAGAATGGAGCTCGGCTAAAAGATCAGGGCCCAACAAGTCACCATCTGCTCATCAATCAATATTCACCCCACGCTTATGGGGCCCTATGAGGTTCAGTACTGCAAGGACACACATCTTTAGGCTGATTTAGTCTCATAAAGTGTGAATAAACTTAATGGAGGTAAGTATAACTGGCGCTGTCATCCTGAGTGTTCTGTAGACCTGTGGCTACAATGTCTATGGTGTGTTATTTAATGCTGGCTGATAGAGGAACACTGAGGATGGAGGCGTTCTTCACTCACATTAAAAAAAACAAACAAATGCCATCAAGCAGACCAATCGCAGTTCTTGCGGTCTGCGTCGCTGCGATGTGTTGCTACATTTCTGGGGAGGTCTGTGTCAGGCCTCGGCGCGGGGTCCGCGGCCGCGCGGTACTCGCGGCGTCGATTTCCTGCTAAAGCGTAAATCAGCCTTTAGCCGGAAGGATCTCTGATGTGCGGTATAACGCCAGTGGGACAAGCTGCTGATGGCGGCCCCCGCCTTCCTGTGCAGACACTGTGTATCAGGACTGGGCTTCAGCGGTGGGGGCCCAGCGTCAGGCCGGGAGGGAGAGGCCGATGACAACTCCCTCTCCCCCGAGGCCTGCTACGAATGCAAGATCAACGGCTACCCCAAGAAGGGGCGGGCACGCCGGAGCGCCGACGCGGCCAACCACAGGCACCTGGGGGGCCAGCAGGTACAGCGATGCTCCGCAGCTCAGCCATGTGCGGAGAATGAGGGTGAATGAATACTGACAGTCGTGAAAAAGGTAGATGCAGTATCTACATGAGCGCTAGCAAGGAGTTTCCCACCAGCGTCCATGGTATCCACACTGGTGACCTGGGCATCTGGTTTTACCAGAAAGCACCAAAGCTCTCAAACACCATTGTGCACTGGGGTGAATATTACAAGATTAACAGAACAGAATCAGGAATTAGCATCATAGCTGATATTAGAGTTTTTCCCCATAGAAATTAATGGATGGTCCCCACAAAGATATGAATACAAATGTGTGTGTGTGTGTGTGTGTGTGTTAACCCCGCCCCCAACCATGCCCATGCTGACAACGAATGTGCAACGGATAAGCAGGAAATGGTAAAAATATTCATATTAGATATAAATTCCAGGAATCGGTGCTTTGTGGCTTAATACTGTCCTCTTATTAAGGGACAGGAAAACCTTTCTTACATTTACATTTATTTAGCCCTGAATTCTAAAGATGATAATTCTAAATTCTGAATTCTAAAGGTAATAAAACACTGGAAGGAAATAAAAATGTGTGTGATTTGACAGAGTGAAGAGGCAGCCAGCCTGGCTAGCGTGGACACACTCAGCACTATGCTCTTCCACTTCAACCTGACTGAGCTGAACAGCAGAGACCACCTTCTGGAGTTCATCCCTGCCCTGTCCACCCTCACCGACCACGTCCGCTACACCATCAGCTTCGGCAACGAGGACGGCTTCTTCAGGATCAACCAAAAGGATGGCATTAGCTACCTTCACTTAACCAAGAAGAAGCTGCTTCCTGGAGCATATTATTTACACATCACCAGCATGCCACTGTACAACAGAGAGGAGCTGGTCCTGCTGGAAGACAAGCATGACAGAGACTACCTCACTGGACAGCTGGGTGATGCGCTGAAGATAAGGGTACAGATTGTCCTTCACTAACAGCACAAGGTAACCGCATTGTTCCCAAAGACAGTTCCACATATCATGGATACAATCTCTTATGAGGCGTCTCGCGTTCAATCGAAAGCACCACTCCGTGTTTACAGAGCTGAGGGCAAACCAAGGCCTAGGAGCCGGAGAAGCTCGTTAAGAGAGCCGTCCCTTGAAGAAACCACCGTCTCAGGCCTCACTAGTAGTTTTCCTGCATAAGGGTTTGTACGATGATATGTAGAATGGTGTGAGGCGCTGTGAGACACATCGCAGGCAGGACGGCACTGACGCCGAGACCCTGTGCTGCTTAGCAGAGCTTCAGTGACTTATTAGTTCAGGATCGAGAGATTTGATGTTTCTGTAACTTTGCTTTTCCATCTTTTCCACTGAATTAGATCTGCATTGTATTATAGTAACTGGTGCTAGTAACATGACATCATAGATTTATGAATGCACTGTAATATTTAACAAATGCGATAGCCAAAAAAAAACTGCAACTTTCTACTGTCTGAAGATTGTTACTTTGCAACCAAAGTTGGCTCTTTTTGTTCTGTTATACCCATACTACATGTAAATTGAGTGTGTTTATACTGTAACCATGTCACTTTTCTAATCAAAGAAGTCTTTTTAAAACTAGGTAAAGCCCTGCACTGTAGGGTTTTCTAAAGGTGCTTTTATTACCAACTCTTCCTGTGTAACTCCGTACTTCATTCTGAGGACTCTTGTGAATCTATATATAACAAGTCTAATCAGTGCATCCACTGGAGGGGACATATCAAGGAATCCATCTTCCCACTCATGTCAATTTTTCTCTCTCTCTCTCTCTCTCTCTCTCTCTCTCACTCTTACTCACACACACACACACACACACACACACTGTCTGTCTCATGCAGTGGTTCAGTTTCCATAAACTTACAATAAAACATTTTTTGGTTTTCATTTGTGCTCTCACTGTGCTTTACTGTTCTGTCCATGTCATTAACATCAACCAATATAATAAAATATTTAATTAAAAATAATAATAATGAAAGGAAGTGTAACTGGTTTAGGGTGGACTGGGTTTTTCAGTTTAGAAATGTTGCTGATCTGTAACACTGACCAGTGTTGGAAAATTGGTGGATAAATTTTAACACTCCAAGTAAAATGTCTTTTGTGGTTTTTTTTGTAGTTGGCAACAAATTTGTTTGCCTTACACTAAATCAACATCTATCCATCTTCCTAACACTTATCTGTTACAGGGTTGTGGGAAGCTTGGAGGCTCAAGGCAGATGACCTGGATGGGATACCAGGTTCAATTATCTTAAGTAGAGATGCACCGATTGTATCAGCCAGCCATCAGTATCGGCCAATTGATTCAACACGAGCTGATTGTTTGCCGCTGATAATTCCCTTTAAAATGGTGACCCATATCTCTTTGCACACCCGCCACTAAACAGTTAGAAAAATGTTTGCTGTGTGGAATTATTTTAAGGAGTGAAAACGATGTTGGAAATACATTTTGTAAACTTTGCTCTGCTAAAATTTCACGAAGAGGATCTACTAAAAACATTTCAACACAACAAATCTGATTGTTCACCTTAATGCAAGAGAATTCAGTTCAGACAGGGCAAAATAAAATATATTACTCAAAAAATGACAGCATTTACCAAACTTGATGATCAGCCCTTCTCTTATAAATATATGATACGTACAGTTGTAAAATATAGTGCTCTGGACTGCTGTTGTATGCCAGAAAATACCAAAAATAAATACCTTTTTGTATGTTTGTAATGTAATTTATTTTCGTATTCATTTGGCTGGTGTGTCCCTTTAAACTTAAGCAGAACCTCCCAAAAAATCTATTTCGAAAACTAACACCGATATTATCTGCTATTGGTATCAACCAGAAATTCCCTTATTGGTGCATCACTAATCTTAAGCATGGACAGTAAATAATGCAGAGTGCTCGTTTCGTAAAACTGATTTCTGTACCTTTATTTGCAGGTAAGTTGACATTTCGGCAGACTGGATCAAATGTACCCAGCTGCAGAAACTGCTCTGGGCTTATTATTGGTTTTTGGGCACTGGCCTGTAACTGGTAAGAGAAGGAATCCCAGCAAGACTCAGGTGCAACATTTTCCTCCTCTGAAGTCAAAGTTCGGGTGGTTGGATAGCCCCTCCCCTTCCTGTGCCTGACATGACTAATCCGTTTTATGGCAAAGCTTTAAAAAGCTTACTAGTTACTCATACCCCCATTTTTATATACTACACTGGTATAAACAAACTGGATTTGGAACAGTGCTACTTATTAGCGTGCGGCATGTCTTCCAGATTAGCATTTGGTATTAAGAACATTTTTATTGTGAAGTACGAATACCTTGTTATATTCAGGGGAAATTTACAAGCCTGTAATTGGACACTTGGAATACCCCCCCTACTGACTTAGCTCTCGATGGAAAAAAGATATACAATTCTAAATGTTTTTCTTTCGCCTGTTATAAACTATACTAACTTTCCTATTAACTCTAGCTTTCTAAGATATTTAAAACTTAAAATGTATCAACCTTTTGAACATGGTCTGCTTGCCTTCACTGAATTTAGAGGCATCAGTCAGAATGTTCAATGATCTTCTCCCACCAGGAGACCAGACCTACTATGTTCTACCACCTTATCCCTCTTCCTTTAATATCTACATGAAGATGGGACAAAAGAAATTGGGTATAAAATGATTATGCCTATTCTGCAGTTGTGGTGACTTCAGAAGTATCTCATCCTTGTACTCTATGCTGCCATGACCTTAAATGATCAGGAGATTGATATACGTCATGCATGATTATTCTTAAAATCCTTCAGCAGGGTGGATAAATGCATTTCATATAATGATCCCCCAAGGTTCCACTCTTAGTTTTCCTGAAACTTTATTGCAATTCTGAATGAAAACAGCACCAAGTAAGAACTTCACATATCTGGTGTAACAACAATTCATGGAACCAGAATACACATTTAAAAAATTCAAGTATTTGCAGTAGGTAAAGAGAGACACCGTTTCAGTTTCTACCCGTCGATCCAAAGCCACCAGCCCCCCTCGCAGTTTCGTCTAGGCTCTGCAGGAGAGAGTGGAGTCGTCGTCAACACAGAGGTCAAATCATCTGCATTACTGCAGGAATTAAAAGGCCTGATCTGAGCATCGCTCCTACCTCATGTTCCTCCAGCTCTGGGTAGCAGATTCTCTCACAGATCAGCTGCGCCACGCGGTCCCCTTTCTTCACTGCAATGACATTAATAGGATATACATTCACTGGCCACTTTTAGGTACACCTATTCAACTCCTCATTGGCGCAAATACCTAATCAGCCAATCATATGTCAGCAGCACAAGTTACAGGTCAGGAGTTAATATTCACAACAAACACAAGAATGGGGAAGGAAGGTGATTTAACTGACTGATTGTGGCATGGTTTTTGGTGCCAGACAGGTTGGTATGAGTATTTCAGAATCTGCTTATCTACTGGGGTTTTCAGGCATGACCATCTTTAGGGTTTACAGACAATGGGCCAAAAAAAAAAAAAGATTCAGTGAGCGGCAGTTCTCTGGGCAAAAACACCTTACTGATGGCAGAGGTCAGAGAAGAATGGCCAGACTGGTTCAAGCTGATTGAAAGGCAGCAGTAAAACAACCACATCTATGCAACAATCTGTCCAAAATAGTTTTTTTCTCTTCATTTTCTTAATCTATTGGTAGTATCCTTTGGTTTGTCTTTAGGCTGTTGCAACAAGTAAGTTCCCCCAGTGTGGGATCAATAAAGTTATGTTACAACCAAGGTATGCAGAAGAGCATCTCTGAACACATAACATACTAAACCTTGAAGCAGATGGGCTACAGTAGCAGCAGACCACACCGGGTGCCACTCCTGTCAGCTAAGGACGGGAAACTGAGGCTACAGTGGGCACAGGCTCAACAAAACTGGACAAGGGAAAACTGGAACACTTTGCCCGGTCAGATGAGTTTCGATTTCAGCTGCGACATTCAGATGGTAGGGTTAAAACTTGGCATAATCAACATGAAAGCATGGATCCGTCTTGCTTTGTATCAACAATTCAGGCTGCTGGTGGGGGGGTCTAACAGTACCAACTGAGCATCGTATACTTGCCACAGTCAGTATCGCTGCTGACCCTGTCCACCTTTCTGACCACAGTGCGCCCCGCTTAATGGCTACTTCCAGCAGGATAACGAACCATGTCACTAAGCTCATATCTCAGACTGGTTTCTTAAATAGCGGCTTCAGGGGTAAAGCTGCAAGTTCGATCGAGCCCTTACCTTGAAAGGCCTCCTTCCCGAAGTTGAAGAGCACGATGCCGACATTTCCTCTGTAGTCCTCGTCCACCACGCCAGCTTCGGGTGGAAATGCACAGATGTAAGCTTTGAATGCCTGTAAGCTTGATTCAAAATCGCTAAAAATACATCTTAAAGAACAGCTTACCTCCGACATCTATGAAGTTTTTCGCCGCCAATCCAGACCGCGGAGCTACACAGATAAATCACAAAGCGGTGAGGAACCACGCGGGGATGCAGCGGATACAGCGATTGCGGCAGCCGACCCGCACTCACCGACCCTGCCGTAACAGCCCGGGGGGACGGCGATCTGGATGTCCGTCTTCACCAACGCTTTGTCCATAGGCGCCAGGGTATATTCGTAGGCGCTATTCAGACACAAGCCAGTATCCACATGCGTGATGCTATGTATCGACGGGCTCTGACAACGCAGTCATGCAGGTTTGCAGCAAGCTGTTTAACCACTACCATTGTGATAAAGTGCATGTCTAACCTGTAAAGGTCGTAACCAGCAGCTTTGGTGGAGCCTCTCGTAGGGATTGTGGCGTTTTCTGACAATCGGGCGAATTTCAGCACGAATCTCCCTCCGGTTGCATCCTCCGTCCTGCCGCGCTTCGCCGGGGAAGTCGATTCATTTTCCAGCGTTGTGACTTCAGAGCAGGGCATATTTGCTAAAATTTATTTAAACAATAAAAAAAATCACACAAAATTATTTTTAAAATGCAGGTTCGCTGCTGAAACCCTGAAGCCCTTGCTGCTTGCCCCCTCTGTACCCGCGCTAAATGAAACAAACTACCGGCACTGATGTTTAAATACTCGCGCCAAGTCCACGCTTCTCTTATTACAAAACGGTTACGGGGGGAAATAATTACTATCATCAGTTTTTATTTTTTTCCTTCATTAAATTATACCCCGAAACGTAATATATGTACAAATATCCAGTAATCGCTGCAGAGTTTTATAATACTAGTTTATAATAACATTGTAAATAAGCAGCTTCTCGCGAGACTCGGAAGTCGCGCGTTAGAATCAGAATCAGGTTTACTGGCGAACAATGTACGAAGGTATTTGTTTCTGGCAGTTGGTGTCTCTCCGGTACAATACAATACAATAAAATACAATACAAAGTACAGTACAAAAACAAAGTATGTCCATCCACGGCGCCATCTTGAAATTATTAAATTATAATCAGATATTACTTAATTAAAACACATTTTCTATTAAAGTATCCGTACAAAATAATAGTGCAAGGCTGATCTGGCTCCTATTATTTCCGAAGTGCAGCTTTATTTATTTATCAATCTATCGTTATGTAGTTCTGATGGTGGCAATGGCGAGGTGCAGTCGGACACAGGTTTCAGGTGCCGAGGAGGCTAGTATGCTTACCGAACAGAAATGTGGTTTATTTAGCATGCCTCACGGCTTTTTTACGGTTAGATTTCGCCTGCCCTCATCTCGGACAACCAGGGAGCAATATAATTAATTATTTCTTCATTCTAACTATGAATATATATGGGAATAATATTAAATATAACATTAATACGTAATTTGTTAATCTTCGTCGATCAACTTAGAGGATGTCGAACCTAGACCTAGAGAGGATGTCGAACAGATATATACAATGTATATGTAATGTATACGTGCATGTATACGATATATTTAAGCAAGACCATTAGAACCGTCCTTTAAATTAACCATATCTTCCGTTCAAACTCTCACTCTAGCAAAAAGGAGTAAATAATATTCAGATTTAAACAATTTGCGACTTAGACCATTAACCCTACATCACTAAAAATAGATGGCTTTGGTAAGCACACAGATATATTCTGGGTGCCTATGTACAGAAATACGGCAATGCGCATATCAAGCAAGTCCGCTAGAGCCTTATACCTACGTTTAAATACTTTTGTATTTGCGCTGAACATTGTCTTTTGCGCCCCAGAGACGTGGTATTAATTAATCTATTGATTGTCCCGCGTTACTTTTCTTTCTTACGTGCTTATCGGACGTACCCATCGGCGGAGGTTTGCAAAGCGCTGCTCCGTGCGGAGGCGGCACGCGGATCCGACAGCTGCGGACTGCAGGAGCGCCTCCTGTACGCGGCTCTGCGCTGCCAAATAAAACACATTCAGAAGTTAAACTACAAAGCATTTTGAATCCAGGACGGTAAATTCAATGTTCTCCCGTTTCCAATTGTCTTTTTCCTTCATCTTGCTGAGTTTTGCACCGATTTTAGCATATTCGATCGTGACGTCCATTAAAATGAACTTAATATGAAATTTATGGAGATTTATGCACATATTATTGACCCTGGATACCACCCATGTGTATATTTCTGTCTGCATTAAAACATTTATTTGCCTCTTTCTTTCCCAACACACCTGTAGGTTATGCTGTTTGCAATTAAGGGCAACCTGTGCAGAGAATAATTGAATGTGCTTTAAGTAGAATCAGTTTTATTCGATTGGTAAGTGTTCAGGGAATTAATTTTGCAAATGAAGAGAATGAGTAAGCAGAGTCTTTAACTGCCTGAAACAAACAGGACCAAGTATAGCTGGCCAATAAATGGCAGCAGCTTTATAAGTTGACTGCAGTGTGTCTTTTGTTTTTTTCAGGACAGGGACACCACACATTAAGAGTGATGTTTGCTTACTGTGTCCTTCACAAATGCCCCCACCCCCAAATGCTCAGCCTCACAAGGGAGCCTTGGTACTGGATATATGGAAGGAGGGAGGTATGGGAATGTGGTGAGCAAGTAAAATAAATGACTTAAGTTGTTAAGAGCTTAATGCCAGCATATAAGGAATTTAGTAATGGAAGAGAATGGCAGGGAGGCATTAGCTGGGACTGAACACATTTGCTATATATAGCTTTAGGTTCTGTTCTTCCCATTCAGGGTGGCTGCTAGTCTCTCAGCCATGCAGCAGCGGCAGCAAGTGTGACAAATGGCCTAGTGGAAGAAGCCTAGAGCCCAATGTGATGTACAAAGAGATAGAGAGCGACACTGAGGGGTCCTGTGCTGCCTCCCAAAGACCCTAATATTAAATTATAGGAGGGACATTTTTTCTACAGAACAATTTATTCGATTATATTAGGGCAGACAGGAGACTGTCTGGTCAGTTTTGTAACATTTTGTCTCTGAAAATCTGATTGTGTGTTTCTTTTATTTTGGATGCTTTTTTTAGTCTAAGAACTGAGGGCAGAATCTCTGATTTAATATCTGGCAGGAGTGAGAGAGACATGAAATGATGGAACTGGACAGCTCTCTCCTTTGGGTTTGACATCTACAGCAAAAACTCTATTATTTTCCATAAACTGAAATAGCATGAGACTGCTCACCATGCAGAAACGTTTGGTCCCCTTATAACAATCTGAGCATGCAAAAATCAACAATGAAATGCAGTATAATATGCATCTTACATGAGAGCTTACATCACGCATCATTACATCACACATGCCCTTAAACATGTACATGTCCATGCAGCTTTTTTCTGTTGCTGCATATATTCCTTGTTATCCAGAAGGAGTATTCGATAGCAGTATTATAGTAAGGACTGTTTTTGTTTCTGTTCACTTTGGGGTTGGGCTGTGTTTGGATCAGCAAGTTAAACAGAAGGTCCCTGGTTGGTAGAATAGTCAGAGTACCGTGAGACCTTTAATCCCCTGAAAAATGCTGCCGGGTGCCTAGTAAATGGCTGACCTTGCATTCTGATGCCAAAGTTCATTCCTGACTATCTATCTATCTATCTATCTATCTATCTATCTATATCTATATATATATCTATATCTATCTATCTATATATATATCTATATATATATATAAATATATATATATATATATATATGTGTGNTGTGTGTGTGTGTGTTTCAAAGGAGAGTATGACAGGGTGTGGAAAAGGAATTTCTGTACTCGTGCAAATGGCAGGTATAGCGTCATTTTATAAATACAAATGGTGCTTCTGGGTGAAACCTGTCATACTGAAGATCATACCAGTTAAACCAGAACAGATGCACACTTTTATGCTGTCGCCTGTCAGGTAACATTACAGAAGGGAGCTGGATGCGCTCTTGACGCCAGCATCTGATACACACAGCCCGTCATTCTCATGGGGGGTATTTTTATTGTGAGCACATCTCACTCTGCTGCTTGGTGCTCAGGAGGGGAACAAAAAGGTCTTCATTAGCATAGCATAACTTGGTCCAGACGGCCTGGCGACATTTATAGACTCGAACCCAACCGAACCTGACGTAGTGAATTCATTTTAGCAGAGTGTATTTCTGCGTAAAAAGGCTGGTGTGAATCATACTGCTGCAGTCCTGCTTCTGATCTCATTGCCCTGACTTAAGCTGCATTCGGTTTTATATTGGCTCGTCAAAATAAAGTCTTGCTGGCGTTTGGCAGTGTCAGCTATTGATTCTGGAATGGTTCTCACCAGCAAAGCATGGTTCTAGGCCTAGAACGCTTTTGGGGGTAAGGTGCCAAATTGTAGATTGGAATAGGACCCTTGTGTGCATTGGTATTCATTGATTTTTGGGTGGCTGTATATGTTTTGGACATTTTAATGACTTCCAATGCTAGCTTAATAAATTTCCTTAATCAGTCAGCTTGACAGTGTAAAGCTGTTCATGGAAAGGCCTGTTTGAGCAATTTATAGTTGTGAATAAGTGCTAATTCATTAAGTGTTTCACTTTAGTTGCATTTGCAGCAAAGATGCATTTAACAGTTTATTATCGTATTGTTCTTATATAGCGTTTCACAACGTGATTGTAATATAGAATGAAAAAATTATAGAAGTCTGTGAACTTACACTAACTTTGTGATCAGCGTGTCTGCCCACCAACCACACTGCATGCACCCAGGTGCTGGGAGTGAAATACAGTGTCTCACCACTAGGAGCTCCCTGGAGCTGCTCTGTGGCAGCAACAGGCGCAGAAAGCCGATTGGTTAAAATTCTAGCAATGTTGCTGGTTCAGGTCGCTTCTTGCTGCTTTCGAGCAGAGGACGGTATGTTTCATTTTTACTGCCGAGACCTTTCTGCATTTCTGGATGTTCATGTGAGACAGGGACCCTTAATAGCCAAAACACAGTAAAAGAGAAGACACTAGACCAAGAGGATGGTTTATTTCACAGGGCATAGAGACAGCCACCGCAGGGAGCTATCACTTTCCCCAGAGCTAGTGTTGGCGTGGAGACGGACATAATATCTACAGCAGGTGCCACCTGGTGGGAGAAAGTTGGAACAGTTCAAAATGAAGGCACATAAACCCATTCTAGGTTACAGTAAGGCAAATCCACAGCATGAGGAGAACTTGGCATGGGCTGAACCGGATAAGCTTTCTTCCAAAGAGCAGCCATGGCCCGTTTTATCCCTGGAAAGAAACTGGATAAGCCCACTGATTGACAGACTCAGCATTTTCCTGGACCCATCGTACTGGGTTCCTGTCACTTTACTGGGGTGACCGTGACGGGTGTTCTTTGCCATTCTCACACCATCTACAGGGAGAACTTCAGGCTGTACCGGAGGGCTGGAAGACAACCTCCTACTATGATTATTCAGGATGTATCCAGGAATCCGTGGCAAACTAGCGACATTTCCGTGCCATCCAATGGGCAACAGGCAATGGGCAACAGGATGAAATACTGTCATTTTGCCACAGCTATACAGCAAAGAATTTCTTAAACGTCACATGGTCACAAACACCTTAAACACAGTGGATGAACATTATGAGCTGTTACCAGTGCTAAGTTACAGTGCTGCATGGTCACTGCGTGCAGCTGTCGCCAACATCACTGGAAAAAGATATAAGCTGGACCTACCCACACAGTTACTGTATCAGTGGAAGTTAATACATCAATCAAGTGACCTGAATTCACTATGCTAAAGATTTCATCCTTATGCAGGACATGTAGTTATTATACTCAAACAGGAGTAGAGCTTAGCTCTTTTACGAGACATCCAGAATGACGAGATCCACACGGTGTACTTGAGTATGTTGCCTGTTTGCTTGTGTACAGGGTAAGCTTAATCCAGTTCTCAGGTGTCACAGTTTATGTCTTTTTTCATGTTTTGTTAATAAATTTCCCACTTTCTCTGAGTCTTAGACATCTCCCTCAGTACATACACCGCAGCCTTCTGTAATTTACAGCCAAACAACCCTGGTAAATTTTACGACAACAAACAGTCATCGACCACAAAGGGGCAGTGACGCAGCCGCAAGCTTACGGCACACGGGGCGGTCATATAGTCTCCTGTCGCTTCAGACTCATTGGAAGAGAGATGCCCTCTGTCCATTGCTGGCCTTGCGTGATTTAGGCTAGAGCATACTCAAAGGTGCCCTTCTCCAAGCCCTCCACGCCGTCTGCCCATGTAGAGGAGGGCATGCTGCTGTAGGGATCCAGGAGGATTCGGAAGCACCTGACTATAAGCAGCCCCAGGAACACCAGCAACATGCCCACAAACGCAAAGGCCGTCTTCTGTTCCAGAGTCAGAGAGTATCCCATGATGTCACTGCCACTCATTGGGGCGAGGGAGTGGTTGAAGTGAATGTTACACATGGTGAGGTGTCCTCACTACAGTCCTGGGGGTGCTGGACATCAGATAACGTCTGAAAAAATAAAAAACAGAAATGCAGTTCACACCCACTTTAGGCATGGAATAATTTGCTCGATACTCCAGATTCATTGGCATCAAGAAATTTGAATGTAGACGTGCCTTCGGTCCCCCACAACCCTTTCCAGTGTAGCAGGTTGGAAGACGGGTAGATAGACCGCTTCCATCTATTACCAATAACAAGAGCAGAAACAGAAATGCTGCCATTTTTTCCCCAGTAAATACATTCCAACTGCAGATGGCCTTTTATCTGCATGTCACTGGACACATTTATAGTTTATGGAATAAAGCATGTTTTTCTCCAGTCGCTGAAACGCACATTTGTAAAACAGAAATGTAGGTGTGTTCTTGACATGGCTGCATTGGTACGATACACCCAGCACCTCAAGTGTAAGAACAACAGCTGCACAGGTTTTGTATTTGCAAGACACTTGCAGTAAGCCTTAAGCTCAACACACACACGCACGCACACACACACACACACACACACACATAACTTGGAGTCATTAGCTTGCCATTCCACTTTACTACACATCACAGTCACGCTCGACTGCCAGGCAAAACGGCAACGATCGGCTTCGGCACAAAGAATAAAATGAGCGACTCTGACCTGTTGCTTTCCTCGCAGCTCTGGATAGTTCATCTTCAGTGGCAGAATTGTGATGCGGGCGTGAGAGCAAGCTTGGCGACCCCACCTATGGACGGAAACCACATGATTAGAGCGAAGAGGACGTGTTCATCTTCCCGGCAGAGATCTCAGCACAGCGATGAGGAAGAGTCTGGGTGAGCAGGTCTCTGGCCGTGCCGGCGTGAGCGAGCCCAGGAGGCGAGCTGGGGGCTGACTGCAGCTGCTACTGCAGCTTGGCTTATCCCACTCTCCTCTCCTCTGACCTGTTGCTGGCACTCCTTGTGTCCCTCTGGTGGCAACAGAGCAGAGAAACCCCCCACCTCACCCCCGACCCCCCCCTTGAGCTTATGTATCAGCAGCAGAAGAGTATCATGCCCCCCCCCCCCTTCACAAACTGAGAGCCACCCTAGCTGTCAAAGGCTAAGCTTCTGCCATTTTAAAAGGGTGCATGTTGGTGGGAGGATGCTGAGAGGTTGGCGGGAGCAGCTTTCGCATTGTCCTCGCAGATCCGCTCATGTCGGGGGCTTAGAGAGTCTCGGGCTCGCTCCTGCTGGCCGCCCGTCCCCTCCGCAGAAGGCTTGAGTGCATCTCAGCCCTCAGCCCTCAGCCTGAGCCTGTGTCTCTGTCAAGCGTGCTGCAACAGCAACAGAGTGGCTGGACGAGGTCCCTCCTGCCCCCGTCAACATTGGCTGTTTACAGGATGACGCCCTGAAATGTCAAAGGAATTCCACTCCTTGCCAAAAGACACACTCATGTCTTGTTGTCTAGCAATTAGCGTTGGCAGGCAGCCGAGCGTGTCTGAGCCCTTTAGATAATATAAATTTAATTCTGTGTTTAATCTTCCTTTCAATTAAAACAGGTTGTCTTTGGAAATTGAATTATCTCTTCACTGGCGTATTAGCAAATGAACCAGCGCCCTCACGGGAGACGCTGGGCTACTGCAGTGTCCTCCTCTTGGTGTAGCAGGACACTGTCAGTTATTTGTGAAAGTATTAGACATGGCGCTGAACAGGCTGTGATATTTCCTAAAAGCTTTCTGACAGCGTGTCATTTTCATGGACCGCATCTGCAGATGGTCGAGGAGCAATTTGTGAAATTGTATGTCTGCTGCACAGTTTGTCTAACGAAATAAAAGGTAGAAAATTATTTTGATTTCACACCAAAGCCCTAATAAATGTTACAGCCAATTTGTCAGCTGGTTATAAACACTTTGGTTACCTGCGGAGTAATTTGGTAATTCTTGTCTGAGAGTCCCCAGCTGAGGCATGCTGGCAGTGTCTGTTGCTACCACAGCCTCTGTCATTAATAAACAGTGCCTGTTGTGCAAAGGCTGACATAACCTAAACAGAGCTTGCTTTGCACAAATTACAAGGAAATAATAAAAAAAAAAACCTTAAGGTTACCACCAGGGTCTTCTAGCTATGACTGATATAGAGGGACATTTGTACTACTGAAGAAATACATCATTAAAATCAGTGCAATTCATTATTTTTAATAAAACAATAATTGCAGACTTAAAATAAAAGAATGGGTCCCCATGTCTGGTCGGCAGAATGTAATATACACCTAATGCACATACATACACACATACAACATCTCTTTAAAAGATGGCTGCTGCATCACATTCCTTATGCTCGTGTGACGTCTCTTCTCCCCAAGCCCATTGTGTTGAATGTCACTGTAGGACTGGGTGCATTTTCTCCATTGTGTTTCTCCACAGTACTGCCAGTTTCAGTCCTGATGGACATAATATCTTGCTCTCCTTTGTCACAAGGCACCTTTGCACATTTCTTAAGGATTTAGACCATTTTGTGGAACATTTTCTCCATCCACATTAATAGGCATTCTTGAAGGAACAGGATGAAGTTATAAAGTTACCAGATATAATAAAATAAATATAATATAATATTATATATATATAATAAAAGAAAAATAAAATTCATTTATTATTCACCTTTGTTGTATTAACTGTATACTGATATGTTTTTATTTTGAAAAGAAGGTCACAGTTCACAAACAACCTGCAAACACACACACACACACACACACACACACACAGACAGACAGACATACACACCCACACACAGACAGACACACACAAACAACTTGGTCTTCCAATCTAAATGGGGACTGTCCAGTCATTTCTATGGGAAAAACCCTACCCATCCCTAACCTTAACCATAAGTAACCAAACAAAATACAATACTTCTGGCATTTTTAGTTTTTTTTTATTGCAGTCACAGATTTCTGTAAAACTGAGTTTCCCTTTGTGGAGACTGGAAAAATGGTCCTTCACAATGTCTAAATAAATAAATAAATAAATGGGCGACACACGTATATATATATCCTCCTGAGACCCCACCCATTCATTTATGTCCATTGCAGTGGACATTTTGTTTTTTCACTAATGTTAGGAAACGTATTCATTCCTGTTGTACACTAAAGAGGACATGCTGTGAAATTAAAAATAAAAATAAATTTGAAAAAGATGTCTTATTTCCTAGGTGATTAGAAAATCACAATTAACCTAAGACTGAAGGACACTTTTTCCCTTGGGTCTCAGGAGGATATTTATATAGGCTACATATACAAGTATGTACATATATATGTGTATATGTAGCCTATGTACAAAGAAAAAAATGGTAAATATCACGGGATGAAATTGTATTTTATCACGTGAATAACATTTTTATTTGTCCGAGAAGAATAGCATGACATTTTATCAGTCTATTTAGTTAGTATCTGTTCAAGTTAAAATAACGGCAACAGAATATAACGGCGGGAATCAGCGGCGCAGTTGCCAGGGAAGTGACGTCACACACCTCCCGCTCTTCTCATCAATCTCGTGTACTCCCGCGATACTTCGAGGGGGCCTTCGTTCGGCTATTGTCGATTTGATCTGCGTATTTAGGTCGGACGTTTCCTAACTTAAGTTGAAAGTTGTAATTATGGCTGATGTTGTGCAGGAGTCTGAAGATAAGCAGGAGGTGTTGGATACGGTTGCTGAACAGGAAAATGAATCGCACGAAAATGAAAACGGCGTGAAAGCGTAAGCCTGCCTTTTGTGTCGCTTTATTAGATGCGGCGGGTTGTTGGGGCAAGATGGAGGCGTGAGCGCTGGCCTTGGCTCGCCTAACGTACCGACGATCATGCCGGGTCTAGTCCTTAGTGTGGGGTGCTGTTATCTGCATACAAATTATAGACTTAATGTCATTTTCCCCCGAAAGTAGCCAAACCATCCGATCGTCTCGCTAAAACATCAGATATTTGAGTTCCCTCCTATTCCGAGTGCGTAACCATGCTGGTAAATCATGATCGTTGTAGGATACAGACGGATGGGTTTTCCGGTAGCTAGGTTCATGTTTTAAAGTCACTTTCATGCCTGTGATCTTGTTTTACGGAAGGTATATCATTTGGAATCGGTATGGTGGATGATTAGTGCGTTCTTGAGGCTCTTCACACGCATGTTAGTAGTCAGCAGAGATTAAATAAAGCAGTCATTTTCTGGCAGGCTTGCTGTGTTTGTGGTTTTCAGCCTTAGTTTGGCTTCGGAAGTACCATGCATTTAGTTAGTTACATACAAGTCCGATGCGTACTTTTGTATAGATTGCACAATTAACTGATTGTTGCAGGATAAAAAAAAAAAAACTCTCTGCATTTGCATTAAACAGAGGCGCCTCTGTTAAAGAAAAGTCAATACAGGAGAACTGTGACATTTGTGTGGCTAACTTTTTTTTCTTTTTGCGTATGCACAGCGATGCTGATGAAGTCCCAAAGCAGAAGTCGGATCAGAAAGAAAAAACTGGCCACAGGAAATCGAATCGGTTTCACCCTTATTCCAAGGAAAAGCAGGCCGGCTCTGGGGACAAGAAGGGTGTCAACAGAAACCGGGTGTTCATTAGCAACATCCCCTATGATATGAAGTGGCAGGCAATCAAAGATCTAATGAGAGAGAAAGGTACATTTTACAGGGCATTTAGCAATACTTTTTGTCTCTAGGTGTTTTATCTTCAGTAAAACCAGTGCCGCCTTCATTTGAAATGCTAAAATTTGGATTCTCAAAACGAATCGGATTGTTTTTCTGAGTGTGTGTATGAGATAGTGATGTAATTTTGGAGTAATTCTTTGTTTCCAATTACTCAGGAATCTTTGTATGTGTGTGTCATGGATTGTTTTGGACCTGTTTGTTAATGGGTTTTGCTTACCAGTATTGATTTGCTTCTAAACATGTAGTACTGCATTTGTGGTAACCTGTGTTTGAATCTGCTTTAAGATTACAAGTATTTAAAATGGGAATTGTGCCTTGCTGTGTATAGTTTTTTTGAAGTATCGATATTTAGCTTTTAGATGTTTTATTTTGCAGTTAGAGGTGGAAGGTCAACTTAAATGATTTCAGATCTCTGGGCTACATAACTGTGTAATGCTGAACTTGTCTCTTACATCTATGGTTCAATGTAGCTGCCCTTTTTCTTTGTACATAGCAGCATTTGTTTCAGTAAATGAGAAGAATGGCATGGCCCCTGTGTGGTGGAATGTTTGGTCCGATCAGACCGACTTGATAATCAATAATGGGTTCTCTCCATCTGTATTGTGCCACCAGGGGGCAGCGGTGAAGTGACGACTGGTGTTTCACATGCAAATGTTTTGTGGTATTTTCCCCTCTGTATGTCTCGTGTAGTTGGTGAGGTTACATACGTGGAGCTCTTTAAGGATGCTGAAGGGAAATCAAGGGTAAGTGATGTGGACTACTTGCTGCACGAGGTTTAAAATCTCAGCAGTTTTCCATTTTACCAAGTGTTTTGTCAGATAATGAGTCTCTAGGCCATGTGTATGGGGACTGCTCTCAAACCAGGGAGGTTCTTGTTGTTAGAGCCTGTTAGTCTGCTTTAGATTGGTCAGAGGGGTGGTTTGTCATGTTACTGAATATGTCGGCTAATGATCACCTGAATTGGTTTCCATAATGGACCCTAAAGTTGTAGTGTTGTAGTCTTAAATTGATGGATGAGCTGGGCTGTGTAATTCCTGAAGGGGAACCAGTGGGATCATCTGTTGTCAGAATGTGTCTGAGATTCTTTGACCATTTCCAACACTTCTCATGTAGATCTGAAGGTAGGTCCATGGCACACTGCACTTTGCTTGGGAAGAGTGCCTTTCTCCTTGTCAATGTAGAAGTTGAGCTTCAAGGTAGATCTGTGTCTTGCAACTGTTGCCTGCAGTAAAACAGTCTCATGGACACTCTTACTCTGCCAATCAAGTCCAACGAGTATTGTTTCCCGGCACATTGTATACTCTATGTAATGTTTTCTTTTACGAACACTAGTTCTCCCTACTGCAAATGAGTAAACCTTTTCCAGTAGTAGGCACGCTGGCATTTTATCGGCTTGTAAACCTGTGCAGTTGTGTATCGCCTAGCGATGGCCCGTGTTTTCTAAATCCGCAGTTCCTCCTTCCTGTAAGAAATTTTCAGATCCTGGTGAATTCTGTCTGAACCTAGTGGTTCAGATCTGTAAGGTCAACTAATTCCTACAGCTTCACAGGTTTACAGGTCCTGCAGAAATTTCTGGGAAGCGATTGTGATACTGTGCACCGCGCCGAGGCGCACTAGTGCACATCCTGCATCACTACATCTGCTAACCTGCCTTCTTCTTCCTCCTTCCTGCCCACTGAACTGGTCCTTCCATGTGGTGCCTGTAGGGCTGCGGGTAAGTAGAACCTCCGAAGAGTTTTGCTGCTATTTCTCGGCTCGCACTGTATGCTTCTTCCCCCCTCCGCAAGCATGAGTGGATGCTAAGTCTTTGCATTTCCTGTTGTAGTGTTGTTGAGTTCAAAGATGAAGAATTTGTGAAGAAAGCATTGGATGTCATGAACCGGTATGACCTGAGTGGCAGACCTCTGAACATCAAGGAGGTAGGAGCTGCTGGCTGCGATTACATTGGCTATTTCTGTCCTACCTTGCTGGTAAAAGGAGTTGTAGAAATGTTGCGAGCAGGCCTTCCTGGTGCATGTATTCTAGGATCCCGACGGCGAGCACGCTCGCAGGGTGCTCCAGCGTGGTGCTGGGATGTACTCGGGGGGGCGTGGCCCTGAGGGAGGTCCTTATGGGATGAACCTGCCCCCATCCATTGCCAACAATCCCAACATCCCTCCTGAGGTCATACACTCTCTCCAGGCTGGCCGGTTGGGCTCCACCGTGTTTGTCGCCAATGTGAGTGTCTTATTTCTGGCGGTTCATAATTCAAAAAGCCATTTGCTGATTGATATTGCCTGAAGGATTTGTCTCCCTATCACTCAGCTTGACTTCAAAGTTGGCTGGAAGAAGCTGAAGGAGGTTTTCAGTATGGCGGGGGTAGTCAAGAGGGCCGACATAAAAGAAGACAAAGACGGGAAGAGTCGCGGGATGGGGACTGTCACCTTCGACCAGCCGTTTGAGGCCGTGCAGGCCATCTGTATCCTCCGCCTGCTGTCTAGAGGGCACCCATGGGCCGTGTTTCAAATGAATGATTAATGCATTTAGTTTGTCTGAATATCCCAAAGCTGCTTCCAGCTGGTGCTCATAGAGCCGCTTTTGGATGTTTCTCAGATTCAGTCTGGTCCTTAACCTCTAAGCTACTTTAGGAATCTGAACTGCTCAGATAACTGTCAGGGTTTCTAAATACAGTGAAATAACTCTTTACGTTCCAGGGTATGTGGTTGAATTAAGGTAGCTCTAGACTTTTGGCTTGATGGTTGTTGTGACAGACCTTGACTGACGCCTCTCTCAGCGATGTTCAACGGTCAGATGCTGTTTGACAGGCCTATGCACGTGAAGATGGTAAGGTCTTTTGTTTGCTTGTTTACACAGGCTTTTAAAAAAAAAAAAAGCCTTTACACCCATGTGTTTCCATGGGGGCTCCATGAAAGTGAAGCAGAGCTAAAGTGAATTCACGTTTCATTCTAGGATGACAAGTCTCTTCCTCCTGACGATTTCCGTGGCATGGAGAAGTCTCCGCAGCTTCCTCGTAAGTCTTTTCTTGTCCGGCCCCTTCTAGTCGCTGTAAACTTCACGATGAAACCGTCCCGCGAATATCGCTGTCGGGTGCAGTGCGAAGTGTCATGGATGAGCCTGGACCCCGTGATCTGTGCAGGGGGTCTCGGCGGGATCGGCATGGGGCTGGGCCCTGGGGGGCAGCCGCTCAGCGCCAGTCGAATAGGCGGCGGCGGCGCCGGCGGCGGCAGCAGCGGTG